TGGTGCAGGATAAGGAGACTTGTAGTGTCTTTTAAGGTCTTTTAGGGTTTGAACATGGCCGGAGACACTACCGCGTCTCCTGATATATGTTTTATTCATTTTTATTTTTACAATACCGCCGGCCTTAGCGTTACCCGAAGTGTACCACGTGGAGGTTGCCGGTCGAATTTACACCTCTGTGTGTGTCTGTGTGTGTGTGTGTGTGTGTGTGTGTGTGTGTGTGTGTGTGTGTCACAGTGGAGATAAGGACCCCACGGTTCGTCACTTCCGCGGTATTTATAGACTGCAAACCCTCTCTTCTGTGTGTATGTAAATATAAAAAGTAAAAAATAAAATATGTAAAATAAAAAAATATAAAAATATAAAAAATATAAAAATAAAGATATAAAAAAATAAAAAATAAAACCTTAATGATAAAAGGAGTGATTACGGAGACAAGGGTTGTGGCAGTGACGGCGGCGGCGGCGACGGCGTCGGCTGAGGTCTTGTTACTGGAACGTCGAACGGTGGGTCTGTAAACAGAACAAATAATAATTTATCAATTTTACATTATAATAATTTATTATATTAAAAAAAATTTTTTTTAATTTATTCTTACCGTTCCAGTCCTCGCCCTCGAGTTCTCGTAGAATCGGGCCCCAATCGAACGGCTCTGGTGGTTCGAACAGTTCCACTAGGTCGAACGTATTGGCCATTACCTCCGGGCAGTGGTCCTCTAAATTGCGGAGCCACTGGACGTCGCCCTATAGGTGGTCTAATTCCTCCCGCTTTCGCGCCCTCTACCACCTGACTCATTCCCACGAAGTGGCCCCTTCCCTCCGCTCTATCTCCGGCTCAGGAACCGGCAGTACTTCCGATTCCTCGAGCATAATATCGATGAGCTGGAAAAATTAACATTAAATGAATATAATTATATTATAAATAATATATGATATTTTAAATCGGCTAATAGAGCCCAAGCGCGAAAAATTAATTCTTCGGAACTGTATCTCTTGGTTTGAGATTACTAAGTTCCATATATAAATTAATTTCGAACTTACATATGGAAAAAATAGGCAAGAAAAATATAGGTCCAAAAAGTCGCTGAAGCGGTAAGAGCAGTCGCCCGGAAAGTGAAAGACGCGGGTTCGACATGACATGCCGGACACATGTTGGCCAAGAAGATTGTGAACAATCGTTCTTGGCAATGGTGATGCGGCACATCCCTGTACCGCATCGTCTCGTGCCTGTGAATGACGGAAATGATTGCGAATCTCTCCCTGTTTCTCATGAAACAGGGAATGCAGATTTTGATGGACCACGGTGCGACGTACGAATACATTACGCACACTTTCGTGTTCTCATCGAGGGATACAATGGCTCGATTCTCCAATGTATTTTCGCGAGACGACTCAATCACGCGATCACTTTTGTAGCCATCGTCTACTATTTGCTGATGTTCTTCTTCTTCTTCTTCTTGTCGGATAATGTCCGGCACGATTTCCATTTCTTCTATATCGTCCAGGACGATATTCACCTGCCTGTAGTACACAGGGTCGTATATGTCATATTCGTCGTCTTCTTCTTTTTCCTCGTCATCAGAGATCGTGATGACCTCCACTTCCATCTTGTCATCAGAGACGTCATTAGAGATGTTGATCACAATGTCTTCATCCACTGGTATGGGGCACATGTTTCCACAATTTTGACACACAATTTTAGAACACGAAATAAGTCAATGTTCTTACTTCTGCACTTTTGTTAACGTATAGCCACTAAACTTTTGCAGACCGGTCAGTGTGCTCTCGCGGTCATTGTACTATGATTTGAGAGTGCATAGGTTCTTATTATATATTCCACTCAGCCCTTTGTTCTTCATGTGTGATTGCAATTATCTCAGAAAGATGATCTTCGCCGAAATAAAAATAGCGGCTGCTCAGTAGCTGACCATTGTTATTGTGTGCGAACGCGTGAAGGAGAGCGTGAACTGGAGAGCCAAAAAAGCTAAGCCACTTTATTTGAATAACACAAAAGTTTAATTACTGACACAATTTACAATACATTAATCAACAAAAAGTTCAAATTAGATATCCAAAATCGTTTAACAATGGATAAGCGAATCAAGGACGGTCGTTAGCGGTTTTCACAAGCGGATTGACAGCAGTTTGCGTGTAAGAACTCGAAAGACTTCGATGCGCAATTTTTGGGTGCTTCTTTTATCATTGCGGTGCTGAAACCCCACTAATTTTAATGTACCAATTAATTTCTGTGAATTTAAAAAAGGCAAAGGTGATGCGAGGGCGTCTGTCGTAATTGGGTGCCCGTGATCTGCGCGAAATAAGTACGTTTCTGGCATGCGCGAAACGTTCGATAACGTGATTGATTGGCTTTCGGAAGCCACGTGATTGCGCGGCGCATGTCTCTTACGATGCTGATTAGGACGGTATCAGATATGTTCAGTTAAACTATGTTGTGATAGTTGACATATTTTTTATACTAATCTTAATTTATTGCCTACTTGTTTGTCTTAGGTGAACCTTTTTTAATCGGTTTTTTTTTGTATATTTATATACGCAAATGTCGATTTTTACACGACCGAAATAATTAACTTGAATTAATTATAATGATTTTCCTTTGCATCTTTGAACAGTTATGTTTACATTTCCCGCAAAGACATGTCTCTTACAAATATGATACAACGTTTCTCAGAAACGTTGATATATTTTTTGCATATGTTCAGTAATCACTTTTCTAATTAACATTAATGTAATCATTGGGATTATCGAGTTCTGTTATGTGTTGTTTCCATGGCTCTCGCCAATAACTCATTTTACATGAAGAATTATATAAAGTATTCTCAAAGAGGCTTCTGTACAGCTCTTTCGTGTTACGTTTTTTGAAACCTATTTCACGCGCATGTATTGCCTGCACGATTGAGTTTACATGAGTTTTGCTTGTAAGCACGGGCATACTGGTATCTTTGCTTAAGCATATTCTGCGTATCACTTTTCTTTTTTCTTCAAGTTCGGCGATGCGAGCTTTCCGTGATTTTTCATAAAAGAGAAATAATTTTCCAGGTCTTAAATTCCCATAATATCTATCTGGTGGTGGACATTGGTCTTTTAAAATGTCGATACATTTATCACAGTCTTTCAATCAATTGTAATAGGTATATTTATTTTTTTTTCCTACTTTTTAACCCTTTCCTTTCTATACATTGCACTATCATTTTCTTCCATTTTATCGAGACACTTGGACACATATTTTTCCATTAGATTGGCATTGACTATCACATCAACTTTCAATAATTCAAATGGCATCTCATGCAACGGCACCCCTTTGCGACGACTCGTTGGCTGCATATTTATTGTCTGTTACTTTTCACACGTATTACACTTGTGATCACTAACCTCAGTCTATTTTCGCTGACATTCGCTGCAATCCCTAATCATCGGTGCTGGACCGTCAATGTGCGTTCACATCCACGGTCGATTGTAATGCTCAAGACAGCGACGATATGTCTGAACCTCCGGATCCGCCTTGATGTGCTCCGGAAGCTTGTCCCACAAATGTTCTATGAAATAGCCACTTTTACAGTAAAACAATCTTCGGAATATATTGCAGCTGTTCAGCACTTAAACTGAGAATGTCGGAAGCACTTGATAGCATCACAAACATCTTGCACACCGAATGAGGAGAGCGTGCACTTTTGTGGTCACCGTACTATGACCCGGCAGCAGCATCAGCCCTGATTATATATCCCGATCAACCCTTTGTTCTTCAACGTGCAATGATGTAATTGTTAATTCGCAAGAAATAATTGCGATATCTCCCCGCTGATAATTCTCCAAAATTGATAACAATTATAAAGCCGCCGCTCGGCAGATTATCGTTACATCCCTGGTGTAAATTTCACCCCGTCGCAAGCGGCGAAGACATGTCGCAAGGTCGCAAGCGGCGACGTGTTCGCCCCCGATGACGCAAAATATTCTCGCTGATATTTCTTAGAAATAAACAGATAACGTATAGATCAGCAGCAACCGCGCTTGCAGCCACGTATGGGGAGGAAGAAACGCAACTCCCTTAATAATAGATATCTGATTGTCGGCGCTCGCCAAAGAAATGGCGGCAGCTCTTTTGTTTTTAATAATTCTTAGAATTTGATTAACCAGATTTTTTACCTTATCTTATCTTGTAATAGATATCGCTGTAATAAATATCTTATCTTGTAATAGATATCCGCTTATCTTATTTATAAACATATCAGATAACATGAACCGATAAAAGGCCCTTATCAGGTAACCTGAGCTGATAAGATAATCTTATCAGCTAATAAGGCTCTCTCCCTTGCGTGACGTCACTCCCCTCACCCCCGATTTCCCCCCGCCTTTCACCCCCCCTCATTGCCCTTAAGTTAGAACCCTCATAGTATACCTACTATGGACGAAGACAATTCCTCAATAAAATTAGACAGTAATGAGAGTTTAAATTTGTAAATACTTGTTTCGAACCACCCGTTGGCTGCTCGTTAACTCAATATGTACACGCTTCGCGAACGCGACGATCATCCAGCGGTCACATGTCAACAATAATAAGAAGTGGTATTATTTCCCCGCCATCGCGACCGTTGACCTTCTCAGTAGCGCGTTTGGGGAAAAGAGCTCAGATCGCTTCGAGAAGTCGTTCGAGGTACACAAACCAATTGTTCAGTTCCGTATCAGGTGAAACAAAAACGGCAGCGAGAGTTATTGCAAGATAAGGCGTTCAAATCCCCGCAGATTGAGCGAAAGGGGATTGTTGTTGATCATAGTTATTAAGGAAATTAAATTTTGAGTGTTAGTAAAATTTGGAGTTTGCCTTACAATTCCTTGACCACCGAGCCTTCCCGCCAAGGCTGTATCAGCCGCCGTGCTCACAAGCACACATTTGGTCCTTCGAGCCGGATCGGTGGCAAACTCGTATTGTGCAAACTATTCAACGTTCACCTTCGCTGTCGGCTTCACGGATCTCCAATAACTTCCATGGCTACCATCGAGGATCTGCTAGTCGAACAAATCCAAACGATATATTCCATCTCGAGAGTTCTGCCGAATTTTAAAAAACTTGGACAAGCCAAGATGACCCGCGCTGTATCTCAGGAACGACTTGCCGGTCTCAAGGAGTACTTCGCAAAGTGCCAGAGCCTCCACGCGAAGATTACGCGCCTAGCCAGTGCCAAGATGAAGTCGGAGCACGAATATTTCCAAACCGAGCAATTTTTGGCGTGTGAGGTCGTCTACAACCAAACCGCGGACTACATCGTGGAAGTATTAGCCGGATTCGAGATACCATTTCACCAAGCCACAGCAGCAGACGTAAGCGGTTTTTCTGATTCTTCTCGTCCGTCAACTCGTTTACCGAAGCTGAATCTACCTACGTTCGACGGGAGTATCGACAAGTGGGAGAACTTCCGCGACCGATTTACATCGCTTATTCGTTACGATCAAACGCTATCAAATGTAGATCGCATGCATTACCTTATCTCTTGTGTTAAGGGGGAAGCAAGTAACGCGCTAAGCAATCTCGCGGTAACGGATGCTAATTTTCCCGTAGCTTGGGATATTTTGATCGCGCGGTATGATAACAAACGCCGATTAATTAATTGCCATTTACAATCCTTATTAAATTTACCGTCAGCCTCCGCGAACACTTCCAAGGACCTTTGCGCACTCCGCGACCAAACCAACGCGGCAGTACACGCTCTCAAAAATCTCGAGCGACCAGTCGAACATTGGGGTGACATTTTAGTGTTTTTGGTTACGCAAAAACTCGATAAACATTCGCGAGAAGCCTGGGAATTAAAGCACGGCATTACAGTTCCGTATCCCACGTTTGACGAGCTCAATAAATTCTTGAACAATCGAATTCGAGCATTAGAGACAATGCTCCCGGTAAAGCCAAAAGAAAAGTTAACAGACGCGACTAAATCAACGAAAAATAACACTCTCGCATCACATGCGGCTTCGACCTTTACATTCGCTTGTCCTGTGTGTAAGGGCAATCACCTGTTGTACCAATGTTCGACCTTCTTAAACCAAACACCGTCTCAGCGTTTCGACTTTATTCGGAAAAATAACCGTTGCCTTAATTGCTTCAGTTCAAAGCATAACATGAAAGAATGTACAAGCTCGCGCGTATGCAAACAGTGCCATAAAAGGCATCATACGTTATTACACTTTAATGCCGCTACCAAACCGTCAAGTTCGGACCAAACCGTTGCGCCAGAGACAGCCCGCGATAATAGCGAAAGCGAAGTCGCAATTCATTTAGTTTCCGAAACCCTACCGTCGTCCTCGACAATTCTCCTCGCCGTCGCCCGAGTACGGATACATTCGCAACATGACCGCGTTGTTACAGTGCGCGCTCTTATTGACCCGGGATCCGTCGCGACTCTCATTACCGAGTCTGTCGTCCAATGCCTCAAACTTCCGAAAGTTAAAACCTTTGTACGTGTCACCGGCGTTGGCGAAGCCGATTCGATTGTGCGTCACGCGACAAAGGTTACGATTACTCCTACGTCTGGCGACGGACCTGCCTACGCGACGAACGCGCTCATTCTCAAAAAATTAACCAAATACTTACCGTGCCAATACCCGTCGACGAGGCACTGGAGGCATGTTTCCGGGCTCAACTTCGCCGATAGCGATCCCATGAGTCGCGAACCGATTAACTTAATCATTGGAGCGGATCTCTACAAAAGATTACTTCGAGAGGGCATTCGTCAGGGTCCCGCAAATTAACCCGTTGCACAAAATACCGCGCTGGGCTGGATTCTATTTGGTCCAATCACTAGCTCATCCACCCATTCTCGAGCTTCCGTTCACGTTCATAACGGAGTCGCAGAGGATCTCGACTCCGCGCTCCGCAATTTCTGGGAGATTGAAGAGATCCCTCAGAAATCACACATGAGTCCTGAGGAAAGCCGTTGCGAGGCTCATTTTGTTGGGACTCACACCCGTACAAATCAAGGACGCTACGTCGTCAGACTACCGTTTCGAGGTGATCTTCCCGTCGCGTTGGGTGATTCACGCCCTACGGCCTTAGCAAGTTTACAACGCCTGGAAAAACGCCTCCACCGTGAGCCGAGTACGGCTTCAGAATACCGCGAGTTCCTATCCGAATATGTTAACCTCGGTCACATGGTCAAGGTAGCCGAGCCCTCGACGGTGGACATCAAGTCCCCGCGATATTATATACCGCACCACGCTGTAAGGCGAGCAACGAGCGAGACGACACGCTTACGCGTCGTATTTAACGCCTCAAGCAAGACAACCAACGGCTTGTCGTTAAACGACCAGCTATTGGTCGGCCCAAAATTGCAAATCGACATTGCCACCGTTATTTTGCAATGGCGTTTACACCGATATGTGCTTACTGCCGACATTGCGAAAATGTATCGGCAAATCCTAGTCGATCATCGCGATATCGATTTTCAACGCATTCTATGGCGCGATTTACCTGACAAACCGGTCGACGACTATCGCTTGTTAACTGTCACGTATGGGACAGCTTCCGCGCCGTACCTCGCGCTTCGTGTTCTTAAACAATTAGGGCAAGACGAAGGCGCGCCCCTTCGTGGGTCGCGGCCTTGCCGTGGCGAAGGGGCTCACCCTTTGCAAGAGGATAGTCTTGCAAGGGGTGCCAACAGCGACCTGTACCTCCCGAGGTACACTGCCCCCGGTCCGGGGGGCATGCCCTCCGTCTCTGGGGGCTCTCCTTCGGCGGGTGGAAGATTTCCGCCCCCCTGGGGAGACGGGGCCCATTTCCCCGTTAGAGCTTCGGCTCGTATGTGGTAAGGGACGGCGACCCGGAATTCAAACGCCCGGTGGCATGGCACCGTTAGGAGAAGGGATTGCACGGCGCTTCGGCGCTTCCCTTTCCACCATGCTCTGTGGCCCGGCACGTCTGCCGGGTAGGCGGCTTCGCCGCCCGGGGTTTTCTCCCCCCTCCGTCCTGGGGGGGGCTCGTTACGGTGTTTCCTCTGGGGGGTTGGGGGGTGGGCGTCGGCGGCGGGGGCCGCAGTGGAGGGTGCCGCGCGCGATTACCCGAGGGGCTCTGCCCGGAGGGTTTCCCGAGGGGCTTTGCCCGGAGAGGGTCGCGCCGGCGGAGGGATCGACATGGTCACCCGAGGGGCTTTGCCCGGAGGGTTGTCCCAAGGGGCTTTGCCCGGAGGGGGCCATGTCGATCGGTCCGCGGGGCCCACTCGTGGAGTGGTCCCCGGAGACAGGGAGGTGCCTCAGGGTGCTGGTTGGGGGTCTCCAGGCTGGGTAGCCTGGGTCCCCGTCCCAGCGTCCCTGGGGTAGGCCGCACCCGGGCCGCTCGGACGTTTCCGAGGCGGGGCTGGGTCGGCGTAGACGGCCACGCGTGGTCACCCAAAGGGCATAGCCCGGAGGGGTTACCCAAGGGGCATAGCCCGGAGGGTGCCGCGGCCGCCTGCCGCCGGGGCCGCTCGGACGTTTCTGAGGCGGGTCCCGGCGGCGATAGAGGTTATCCCCGGTCGGTCGGGACCGTTTCCTCTTCCGAACCGACCGACCGGAGAGGCGCTTGTCCCTCGTCGAAAGCCTTCGACGAGGGGCGCCCACATATGCTGGTCGCCACGGCGTGTAGGGCAGGGCCGGGGAGCGGCGACCCTGTCCAAACCGTCCGTGGGGCCCCCGGGTGGCGCCGCCCGTCACGGTGCCCGCGTTGTCAGAGGCGCGGGACCCCTGAAAGCCCGTGTGGGCGTCAAATCCCACACGGGTGTGTAAGGGGCTCGGGGTCAGGCCGGGGTGCGGTATCCCCCCGGCCAATGACGTACGTCCCCTCTCCGGGGGAACTCGGGGCCCGGCCTTGAGGTGTGGCCGGTCATGTTTTGGGGCACCCCTTGGTCGGTGGGGGTATACCCTGGGGGACAGGAGCCGTGACGGGAAAGTGGGATAATACAGAGATGAATATTTAAGAGACAACACAACCAACAAACAAGGATGGAGCGGAGACGCGCGCAGGGCATATGGTCCTGAGAGAGAGAAAGGATCCCTGCACCTCAACAGAGGTAGCTAAAGATCTCTGCACCTCAACAGAGGTAGCTAAGGAACATCTATGGACAGGCAAACTGCATAAGGAAGCAAGAATCCAATTATGCAGAGTAGACGGAGACAGCATTTCCTCGGATTTCTCGAGAGAATCCAACAAAGGAAATAAGAAGAACTCTCCTGCACAGAGGCGCATAACAAGAGAAATAGCCCGAGTGAGAGAAAGGGCGGAAAATCTCTCTAAAAGAAGGGGAATGAAGGAAATGACGGGAACTGATTACGAAGCGGATACCGAAATAGACACCGTGAGCGAAATCAGCTCAATTAAAGATGTACAAGGAGAGTCTACAGTCACAGTGGACCTCCTAAAAGACGGATTCCCTGCTCTTCCTGAAAAAACTCCACAGGAACAGAAGCAAGCGGAAACGACAGAGGGAGAAGAAACTCTACCCTCACCGCTCACAAAGAGGAAGCGAGGCCACAAGGAAACAACTGGGGCGTATCGCAAACTCCTGCAAAAAAAGGAGAAAGAAGAACAAGAAGCGCGTCGCGAAAAAGAAATCCTAGATCCCCTATTCCAGCCCACACGGGGAAAATCGTACAAGGAATTTGAGGGAATGATCGAGGACAAGAATGAGGAATTTCAAAACGCTCCAGTTAGAGACTTGGAAGCGTTGACAGCGGAAAGAACCATGGACTTATACAAGGTAGCTACCCAATCGGGAACTTTGAAGGGCACCTTTGTAAGGCAGGTGAAGGAGGCGGCTGCTGACATGTGCGCAGCAGCCACAACATTGGCAGTGAGGGCTCAGATCCTAACAGGGGCATCGGTGGAAAAGCAAACGGAAGAAATGCAATACCAGATGCAACTACTAAGGCTGGAAAATCAGCAACTCAGACAGGAGATAGAGCTGCTGAAGAAAAGGAAAAGGAGAGAAACGCTCCATCCGACAGGGAACAAGGGGAATGAGAAAGAACCGCTTAGCACAGAGGAGGAAAACGCCGGAATGAGGACAAGAAGATGGGTCGAAGGAAACCCACTACCACCCAAAGATGGGGGGATCCCGTCGACCCGGGAAGAGACCGGGGAAATCTCGCTTTCGCCTTTCGGCGGGGAGACCTCCCCAATGGAAAGCACGGAGATGCGCGGAATCCCACTTCCACTACAAGGTAGGGGGATCCCGGGCACCTCCGGGGTCAAGAGAAGGGCAATGAAGGAATGGGAGGACGAGGAAATGAAGAGCGTGGAGGAATTCCTGGCATTCCCAAAAGCAGGTCCTCCCCCCCTCAGCTAAAGAGAGGAGGGAACATACTCCGACAGAGATGATCCACATTGCTAGAGGCGGAATGGAATTTACCATTCCGCAAGATAATAGTAACGAGGAAAGGAAGGAACGAGAGAAACAGATGGCTATGATCGCCATGTTTGAAGGCATCGTAGTCCGTCTATTGGATGAAAGGCTAGGCTGCCCGGTCCCCACTTACGCGGAAACCAAAAGGGCAGAAAAGATGAAGAAGATGCCGCAAGCAAAGTTACCGCCGCAGCAGCAACGGCCACAACAGCAGCAGAAACAGCGGCAGCAAACGACAGAAAAACCGTCACCAATAATGACAACTAAAAAAGCTACGGCCGGGGAGAAGGACCTAACGGCTAAAAACAAGCCGAGAATAAAAGAAGTTAGGATCCTGCGTGGTGCGGATAAAAAACCCGCTACCACGCTGAATCCACCCGCCAGGAAAGCGACGGAAAGAATCCCTAGCTCCAAAGCATCAGGAGCAAGAGAGGAGAAATCCCAACTCTCAATAAAGGAGAGGAAAGAGAAGGTGCCACCAAAGGCACAAAAGCAGAAGGGGGGAAATCCCCAGCTTCAAGAAGGAGGAAAGGAAGCAGGAAAGGACAGTACCACATGGGCAGAAGTACTGTCCAGGAAAGCCAAAAGGGCAAGCATCAAAGCGGCAGAGGCAGAAGCAAGAGAGGAGACCAACCTCAAGAAGGCCAATGCCAAGAAACAGATGCAAAACACCCCGCCCACCAAGAAACCAAACACCAGGAGGAGAGAACCGCGAACAGCCGCGGTCACGATCACGTGCCCCCCGGGAACTTACGAGAAGCATCTCTGGGAAGCACGACAAAAAGTTAAGGCCCAAGGGCTCCTGGAAGGAGCCAAGATTAAAAGAGGAGCTACGGGCTCGTATATTTTTGAAATCCCGGGGGCAAACTGTCAAGAAAGGGCGGACAGATTTGCTCTCGCGATGAGAGAAGCCCTCAAGGGATGCGAGGGCGTCAGCGTGCAACGCCCCGTAAAAATGGCGGAAATAAGACTCAGGGGGCTGGACAAATCCATACAGCCCTCTGAGATCATAAACGCAGTGGCAAATGCAGGCAACTGCGAGGAGGAAGAAATCCACCTGGGGGAGATACGTAAGACCCCAGGGGGAATGGGTATCGTATGGGTCCGCTGCCCCCTTAGGACAGCGAACATAATAATGCGAACGGCCCAAATTAAGATAGGGTGGGCACTCGTGCGCGTGGAGTTATTGGAGGCAAGACCTCTCCAATGCTTCAAGTGCTTGGAGGGGGGACATGTGCGCGCACGGTGCCCCAATAACATCGACCGCAGCGGTAAATGTTACCGTTGCGGCGAAGAGGGACATGCAGCTAAAAGCTGCACAGCGGCAGTTAAATGCCCGGTGTGCACAGATAAAGGGCTGCCTGCAAATCACAGAAC